AGTGCTGTAACCCTAGGACCATGGTCGCTCTTTTCCCTTTTCCCTCTTTTCTCTCTCTCTCTCTCTCTCTACTTTGCTCAGTGTACTCGTACTACTCGCGAAAAGCAAGTAATTTTTTAGCCCTCTGATGCTGATGCCCTCAAGTAGCAAAGGTTAATTTCTTTACAAGCGCATTGCAGTTCGGAACTGGGTCGGGTGAAAATTTAATGATTATACTAATCTAACAGAAAATTGATTATTGAATTTACTGCTAAATTTCAATTTTCAACTAAATTTTAAATCTTTTTAGACTAACGAGTATGAATTAGTATTCAAAATTGAACAAATCCCAGCAAAAGAGAGAGAGAGAGAGAGAGAATAAACACTAGGATTCTGGAATTACTTGGTCATCATAGTATAGTAGGAATAGATAGGAAATACTCATAAACAGTAGTTAATTAGTAATTCGATCTCCAGTCTAGAATCAATCATAGATTAATAGAAAAATGTAACATGTTTAGGATGACTTATAGTTATTAAGATTAGAAAATATGGTTTAAGTGATATTTGCTCTATACAACATATTTTTGAAAATTTCTTTTTTTTTTTTTGAGAAAAAGGATGGATTACCAACATAGTAATCCAGCCAGCTAAATTAAACAAAATTGGTTGTTACAAAAAAAGTATTCATCCCCAACCAAGAATGAATACCCTGGATTGTCAAAGTTTTACAGTCAGATTCACCTAAATTCTTCACCCCCTAGCAATTGATAACAAAATATCAAAAACTGTATCAAAAGATCAACACATATACATTTTTTCATATGTAGACCACAAAAGCAGACTTCTTTCTTGGGCTTAGTCTTCATTCCAGCAGATCAATCACCCCCCCAGCTGTGGAAATTGAAATTCCAGCAACAGAAGCAGCTTTTTTCCTCCTCCTCTCTTGTAGTCTAGCTGCACGATCAGTTATCTGAGAACCTATCCAAAATTTTGCAAAAGTCAAAATTTTGTTCAAAAGTTCTAATGATCTCCTTTTCTTATTTGAAAAAATTCTATCATTTCTTTCCTGCCAAATACACCATATCAGAGAACAAAGAATCACATCTCTCTCTATGTTCCCACTATCATACTTCTCATCACTCCAGTTCTTCCAAATATCTTTTAAGGAAGATAACTTGAAATCTTTCTTGATATTCAATTTAAACTGGACAGATCTCCAAATAGAGTATACAAACTCACAATTAACAAAAAGATGAAGGTGATTTTCCTCCTCCTTGGAACAAAAACAACACAGCACATCCATGTGAATACCTTTCTTTACTAAATTCTTTTTCGTATTTAAACTACTTCTCAAAGCCAACCAGACCAGAAATTTCACTTTTAGAGGAACAGAAAGCTTCCAAAGATTTAAGCAGTCATACCTTGAGCCTCCATCAATAAGAAAATGATAATATGTTTTAACAGTAAACTTGTCTTTTGCTTCCCAAATCCACTTTCTCTTATCCTCCCTGTGAACAAAATTAATAAGCATAATACTGTTCAACATATCATAATATTGAAAGACCAGATTTCCTGTCAGCTGTTTTTGAAATTTAATATCCCAAATCCAATCATTATTTAATTTTTTCCTCAAACTGGTAATAGTAGCATAAGGGAATGATGCAATGTTATAAAGAGAAGGAAACATAGAAGCCAGAGTATTTGCACCTGTCCATTTATCAAGCCAATAAAGAGTATTATGTCCATTCCCCACATCTATACTAGTACTGCATAAAAAGCTATCAACATTAATAAAAATATTCCTCCAGAAATGAGATAGGGATCTTTTGTCAGAACAAAAATAATCTGACCAGTTCTTATTCTCAAAATACTTATAGAAACTTATTTTTTTCCAGAGATCTATCTTATCATCAAACCATTTCCAAATCCATTTTCCCAACAAAGCTTTATTCATAGTTCTCAAATTTATAATACCCAAGCCACCTAGCTTTTTGGGTCTGCAAATCTCTTCCCATTTAACCAAATTAGATGAATTTTTGTGTTCCAAAGACCCAGTCCATAAAAATCTTCGCCTCATCATATCTATTTTATCAATAAGCCACCCTGGAAATAAGAAAAAAGACATCCAAAAAATTGGCATAGAGGAAAGAACTGCATTAACAAGCACTAATCTTCCTCCCCTTGATAAAGACTTTCCTTTCCATAAGGACAATCTTCTTTCAAACTTATCAATAATAGGAGACCAATCCTCTTTTTTTAATTTTCCAGGTCTCAAAGGAACCCCAAGATAAGTGATAGGAAAACTACCACTTTTACAATTTAACATGCCAGCCAGATTATGTTGCAAGATCTCATTATCTTCAAGAGCAATGAGCAAACTCTTGTTAAAGTTTATTTTTAATCCAGATGCTAATTCAAAACAGTATAAGATCAGTTTCAAAACTGTCAGCTGCTCTCTTTTGTTTTTACAGAAAACTAAAGTATCTGGATTAAAAATAAACTTTAACAAGAGTTTGCTCATTGCTCTTGAAGATAATGAGATCTTGCAACATAATCTGGCTGGCATGTTAAATTGTAAAAGTGGTAGTTTTCCTATCACTTATCTTGGGGTTCCTTTGAGACCT